ATTGCAAGGTCTGCTTATTGTTAAACTAAAACGTTAGGAATTATAAATTTTTTCCCTTTAAATTGTGGTTCAGTTTTATAAAAGAAGTACCGGACCTCATCTTATTTAGGGCTCCGGTGCGCTCCGGCTAAAATTGTAATTTATCTTAAAAATAGAGAAGCACCGGAGCTGGGCTCCTGTGGGCTCCGGCGCAATTTAAGCACTGGTTCCACAACACAATAAAGTTAATAGGGTGTAGATAATGACCTCCGAAATCCAAACTATTGTGGGATCAGTATATTGTTTGCATCCAGATGATCATGTACTCTTTTGAGAATAACTGCTTCCATAAGCTTACATATGCAAGGATGCGATTAGCTTGTTTCGATCTCAGGAACTTTCAGTCTCCAGTTAAACACGCTAACCACTGATCTAGAGTGAGAACAAGTAGCGTTGTATTTTAAGCCTTATCAAATTTTGACATGAAATAATAACATTTGTAAGTCCAAAAATATTACACTAAAAGATTTCAAAATATAATTCATACACCATTAGTCTATATAGATACATTACTGTACATTAGATCATAACAGTTACAGTCTGTAACAATATTTCAAAAATTTACTTTTATGACAATTCTTAATTTTTTCGCCTTATTGCTGACATGAATAATATGTTGAGATCCTCTCAATTGTGGATGAAAATAATGTTGGACACAAATTCAGTTAAAATATTTTTAAGTTGTATTTCTTAAAGAATACCTTTGTTCTACTAATTCAGAAGTCAAACAACAAAAATCAGCGTTATATTTACAAAATTTTCACAGGACTAGTTTCGATGGTTACCGAACCACCATCTTCAGCTGCAAAACCGCAAATGAACAAGATAGGAAATAATGATTAGATAAGATAAGAAAGCCTGGACAAGAATAAGCAAGTGGCGCCATCTGTTGGCGAAACCAGAACTAAAACATAATTTCTCTAAAAGCCGAAGGCAAATTTGGATTGGAATTAGGATCGTTAACTAGAACAGAAAGATTTTTATGAATGTGAAATGCCTCTAGAAAATCCAGTTCTCCAATGGAAGATGTTTTTTGAATAATTTTGGCAGCAGAAAAATTGAAAGTGTGATTTTCGGACCAACAATGTTGAGCAACAGAAGACTTCTGTGTTTCCTTTTTTCTAACATATGCCTCATGTTCTTTGACGCGAAATTTTAAGGCTCTCTTAGTTTGGCCAATGTAAATTAAACCACACTGGCAAGGAATCCTATAAATACCCCAGGAATTCATATCCGGAATGGGGTCCTTGAGTATAGAAGTTGGAATTTTATTGATGGGAGAATAAACAACCCGAAAGTTAAATTTCTGCAAAATATGTGCAACTTTATAGCTAATTGATGGAAAGAAGGGAATGACAACAGAATTTTTATAATCTCCTAAAATAAGAGTGTGGCTTTTAGTGTGTTGAGATGAGAATTTTTTAACTGCTTGATTAATAATGTTGGGTGAAAAGCCCCTGTCAATAGCTATTGCTTTTAAATAATTTAGTTCTTCATCAAGGGCTAGTTTGGAGGAGCAAACTTGAAGAGCACGGAAAACATAGGAATAAAATGAAGCTAACTTTTGTTTAGTCGGATGACATGATTTAAAGTGTGGTGGAAGGCAAACCGATGAAGGTTTACGGTAAACTGTAGTACTGAAGTTGGATGTGTTACGTGTGACCAGAATGTCGAGAAACGGAAGAGAATTGCAAGTCTCAAGTTCAAAAGTGAACTGAATAGCAGGATCAATAGAATTCATTGTTGAAAGAACTTTATTTAAATCATCTTTATTACCTTCAAACAGGGTAAAAGTATCGTCTACGTAGCGGAACCATGCCGGGAAGTTTAAAGTTTCAAACAATTTTGATTCATAATAATGCATGTAGATATCAGCCAGGATGGGACTGAGGGGGCTTCCCATGGCTAATCCCTCAGTTTGTTTGTAATATTTATTTTGGAAAACAAAATGTGTTTGTTTCAAACAGAGTTGAGTGAGAGAAATTAGCTCCATCAATTTCGATGCAAGAGAAATGAAATTCGCGAAGTCTGGTTTCTAGACATCTTAATGCACCCTCCACTGGGACATTGGTGAATAATGATTTTACATCAAAAGAAACCATGAGTAAATTACTAGGAGAAATGTTTTTTAACCTTTTTTACAAACTCTATTGAATTTTTTATGGTGTAAATGTTATTGTCTAATAGAGTGGAAAATCTAGAAACCTAAATATTTAGCTAAATGGATACGAGGCAGTACCTAAATTTGATACAATAGGGCGGAAAGGAATACCACTTTTATGAATTTTGGGAAGAGCATATAATCTGGCACAATTCGCAACAGATGGGATAAGCGAATGTTTTAAGTTGCTTGAAATGATTTGCGAAGATTTGATCGCAGTTTTTATTTTGGATAAGTCCGAAGGTGAAGGATCTTTAGGGATCGGATTATATGGTCCTTCGTTTAAGAGTTTAGTGACACCATCGATGTAAGTGTTCTTATCCATGACGACTATCTGGCCGCCTTTGTCGGCCTTTGAAATGATAATATCCGGGTTAGAATGAATTTCGCGCATTGTAGCTCTTTCTCTCGCAGTTAGATTTGGTTTCAAAGGTTTATTATTGAATTTCACATTATGAGCGATAAGATGCCTAATCATTTCTTTCTGTGAATCTGAAACTTTACTGAACTTGAAAGCTTTTTCGATAGGAGCCAAAATCTTTGGAATCGAGGGTTTACAGGTTTGTGAGAAGTTAAAATTATATTTTAGAATTCTCTCTTGTTCTTCTGAAAGACTAACATTAGAAATATTAACTATTGGCTTGATGTTTACAATGGGAAGATTTTTTGAACTACTTGAACTGGAAGATTGTAAAAGAAGTTTTTCGAATTTAAACCTTTGTTCTGTTCATTATAAAAATCATCTATGTATTAATTTGTTAAAATAAAATTTAATGAACTGTTCAAAAATCATCCATAAAAATTCTGTGACCCAAAAAATTCGATCGGTCAAATCGAATACATGCTGATGCAGAGAAGAAATTCGGTTAATTTAGTCTAAATCTAAATAAGCTTCAGCTAAAGTTAATATAAATCCTTCTGCTATTCCTGGATGCTATGAACTTTTTGTTTAACGGGAAGCTCAGACCTATCGTTAATTTAACTACTGTCTAACAAATTTAAAGATCGAATTTGAAAACTTCTTTCATTAGAATACCAGTGTCATTAGAATCCATTAGTCCATTAGTCCATTAGAATACCAGTCAGAATACCAGTGATTTAATGCCTTGTAACGCTAGAGTACCGCGTGATCTCACTTTTCACTGTCGTAAAAAATGCCATAAATAGGACTCAATAATTTGATAATCAGAATCACGGAGTATAATCTTTATACTCCGTTATCAGAATATAAGTATTTAGAATCATCTCAGATGATTGTCTAATGTATGTTATTAAATTTTACAATTCAGAATGTTGATATCTAGACCTAATCTGAATATCTAATAAACATTGATTCGTCCGCGGAGAAAAAGAAATAAGCGTGTGAATCCTTTGTAATATTTCTCTTTCTCATCAAATTCAAGTCAAATTAATTAATTTTTTAATACAGTCAAAAGTCGTTAATCCGGACTCGTCGGGACTTCGGCGATTCCGGATTATCGATTTTTCCGGATTATAGATCATCAGTTTAAATCTGGTAAGATGGCATGCAGAAATTACAAAATTAAAAATATGAAACCGTAATTTATGAAATAAAGAACAATTATGATCTAAAGGGTATCAAAATTTACAAAAAGAAAAAGCTCAATGTAAGTTGTTTAAGTTGCTTCGTTTCATGTGATAATACTTTCTCTTTAATTCTATTAAACAGACATAATTTCTTGTTTCAGTTACAAAGTTCCGCTGTTCAAGTCCTATAATTGCTGTGTGAGAATACCGACTAATTTGTCAATCGAAATTTTTTCGTTTTCAATAACCTCTGGGTCACTTTTTCTTCACTATCGGAAGCGAATTATAATGACGAGGAACTTGATTTAAATCATATCAAAGACGGAGTATATCGAGATGAAATACTACATTTTAGTAACGGAATTATAAGCCAAATAAAATAAAAACATCTGCCTCTGAAGATAAGGATAGTGCTGACAGATCAACTTCCAATTCATTCGCCCAGCGTGAAATTGATAAACAGATTTCGGATTTCAAAACATACTTTCGCTTTGTAGATCCTTTACATATTAAAATATATATCGGAAATTCTATTTGACATAATCGAAAGTTCAAGCTTACTTTTATAAAATTGCTCTAACAGTCTGCAAAAATAATAAGCCGGATCCAATTCGAAGATTAAGGAACAACGCAATCTGCAACATTAACTGAAATAGATAATTAGATAATTTTAGCTTACGTCCATTATACATAAAACGCGCACGCGAAAACGTATTTGCACTTGCGCACAGCATATTCGCAGTCGTAAAGGTCTTACGCGCAGGCGTGAACGCCTCTGCGCATGTGTCAACGCGGCGCATGCGCAGAAAGTTTTTAGTTTTTATGTCCGGATTATAGATCATTCCGAATTATGGGTGTCCGAATTAACGACTTTTGACTGTATAATTGTTAAAAGAGATAATCGTTCGAGTAAGTTTCAGTTTTAGAAATTACTGCGACCTTTGTATTATAAGTGGTTTTAAATGAATCACTAAGTTTTAAAAGTTTTAATTAGTGTAAAATAATTTTTTGTCTAATTAACTGCTTCAAATCTTGCAAGTGTAAAAGACTGCAAGAGTAATATGCGCATTTTTCTTTAGAATTCTTAAATTACGTCAGGTTACACTTTCTAATTTTTGAATATTTTATCGATATGCACAGTGTCACTGATGAATAGTTGATATCAAATTCATCATCAAACTCTCTTTTTTTTTATTGTATTAGTTTAAGTTTGTTTATTTTTATGATTTTCTGGTTTGTCTTTGCCCTACCACGTAGCAATTGCTCAATAACTTTGGCAACAATACTAGTTCTGTTATCTCTCTTTAAACCAAGGAGGTTTGCTTTAAATTGTATGTTTAAATATCGCGGTTATTCATGGTCTTGATCTCTGGTTTTTTAATGTATCGAAGTTGTGTTATCATATGCTCGATATTTTATCCGTTATTTTGTTTTTCAGAATACATTCACTGAACTCCAACCAGGTAAATACTAATTTTTTTCCCGTGTTTTCTTTTCCGACTTGAAAAATAAATTAAATGAAAGTATGCTATGATGATGAAACTAATTCCTTTTCCTGTTTTCAGATTATAGGTTCAGTGAGATTGACTATTTTAGCTTATCCTAAGTATGTCAAGCTTTGTTGCAAAGGTTTTAATATAATTTTGCACCTTGATAGGTAGCACTTCATCTATTATTCAACCATGGAAAAAATTCAAGATCCTTCCAAACGCCTTTCGAGGTGGTATTTTGGAGGATTAGCTAGTGCTGGAGCTGCTTGCTGTACGCATCCTCTTGACTTACTGAAGGTAAATAGATTATTTTCCTGAGAAATAAACATTATAGCATATTATTAGACTAGACTTTAACTGCATCCTCTTTTTCTGTATGGGTTAAAGCAATTACTGTTTCAACTCTCAATTTTTATAGCTCTAAATTTTCCTTGTTTGTAATTCATATATTATATAATATCATATGTGATATTGCATTTGCATTCACCTAAATTATTATCATATATTTTTCAACTTGTATTGTGTATTACTTTTGTCTTAAATTCATGGTATTTGTTTGAAAATAAAACTAAGTATGAGTAGACTGTTACCTGAATATGTATGATCATTTAAAATGCTTTTGAATTTGAAAATCTGCAGCTGATTACTAGATTTAACTTCTTGATCGTAAAAATGTAAATTAAAAATATTTGTTGTTAAAAAGAATCGTATTACATTCCAAAAGAAAGCCTGTTTAATGCTTTTATTTGTTTTATGGCTATTAATTAAATTCAGCGTATTAGATGTTAATACTGTCGACAGATATAATCCATAAAGTTATCCATTTCAGATGAACCTCCAACTTTCATTGTAGAGGTTCTTTTATGTATGTTAGAAAATTGGCTTTGTTAAAAGTAATTGAATTATTATCTTTTTCCTAAATAATAATAATAAATAACATGAATTAACAGAATTGTTGGTACACTTTGCAGCTATCTGACTTTAATATTTTTAGCATTTTGTATCATTGGTTAGTTATTTACTAAATTGAATCAAATCTCAACATGAGTATAAATTATAGGAACTTTAAGAATATTGGCTTTATATCTTTTCATATTTTGAATAATTCAATACTTGATCAACATTATTAATAGTAGAAAAACTATAGCAAAGTGGTTCTGATGTTTCCTTCTTTCCTAAATTACTGATCATTGTTTGATGCATTTAAGTAATTTTGGTGATACAAAATTTTGACTTATTAACTTTTGTTGGTAGCAAAGTGTAGTCCAAGTGATTAAAATGGGCTCTTTAAATATATTTTGATCATCTACATATTTAGTGTCATAATTTTAAAATGAAGAGTAGATAATTTTTGTTTGTATGGTTACTGATATGATATATACGATTTAAAATCTGAAATAGCTGAAGTCCCAAGACTTTGTACATGTGCTTATGAGGCAGTCTGCGATGTTACCAAAAATTATTTATGCAACAACCCAGATTTGCACCTAGCAGATGTCTTTTTGGTCAGTGTGCAGTATTGAAATTAATGAATACCAAATTTATGTTATTCTCTGAATATTTAAAAGCAAAAACTGATTGCTGTTTACATGGGGAGAAAAACAGTGTGAAAATGGTAAGTATTATGTTGCAAATTATGTTTCTTGCTCTTTTATTTTATCGATTGATTGCTCTTCTGTGGTATTCTTAGTGTGCCACCATTTTTAAAGTAACTGTTGCTTTTCACACATTAACTTGGTGATCAATTAGTTGTCAGCGAGTTTGTGAATGCTCTTTAAAATTGTACACGAGGTTATGACTTTTTGATGGAGATGTGGATAATCAGAAGGTATCCTATTTTTCATGTAAATATTTGATTGCAGTTGTTACTGTACAGTATGTTATGCTCATTGTATTAAATACTCTTGCGTGAATATCTAGGATCCATTCAAGTACCATAATTTATTTGCTTATGATAGGTTCACCTTCAAACTCAGCAAGAAGGAAAACTTGGGATTATCAAGAATACTACTAATATCATTCGCCATCAGGGTATTCTTGCTTTGTACAATGGTTTGAGTGCATCATTGTTACGACAGGTAATTTGGAGCAAAATATATATTAAGTTCACTGTTTATATTATATACACATTTATGAATTTTCTGAAAAAAGATATAATGTACCAAGTAGTCCTCATGTTATAACAAGTGCCATTCTGATGGTCCCAGTCTAAGTGAATTCTGATGTAAGTCAGTGACTTAAGTTATTTTTTCTACCTTTGATAATGTTTTTATAAATAGTCTTTTATTTGACATAAAATAGTTTTAAGAATGCATAAACTTGCTTTGCATATATGAACAATTTATTTGTATATGCATACACTACATACATATATATGTAAAGAAGAATTGCATTTCCCAGTGTGTCTTTTGTGGTATAACTGGTGGCACATCCAACGAGTAGTTTGAAGATCCATGGTCTGAACCCTGTCTTAGGGCATAGCTGGTATTTAATGTTTCCTGTTCTAGAAGTATATATAGTATATAAAACTAATATATATTCTCAGTTTAAATCTGTTAACATAAATAAAAATACAAAAACGTATAAATATTATCTTTAATTAAAAATAGTATTTAATATGTTCTTAGTCATTTTGATGATTTGTTGCAATGGGAGGCGTTTCTTTAATCAACATTTGATAATGCTGTATGGGTTTTTTGCCCCTTGTGTATTTTATGATAACATTCAATTGCTTTTCAAATTCATTTTTCAGCTTTTGTGAAACAATCTGTATTTTAATCCATATTTTTTAGTATTTGAAATCCTTGATTAAATTTAGAAAATGCTTCAGATAATTCTGTACTAGTAAATTGTTTTGACAGTTTCTCGGTTTTATCTTACTCGTTATTCCTTTCTTCTTTTACAGTTATGATATTTTGGAAACTAATCAAATTGCCATCAAACAGTTCGCCTTCTCTTAATACAATGATTTTTTTACATCCTCAATACTGATATCTACATCCAGCATATAAGGTATTTCGACCACTACTTCACCAATCTGATCTAAGATATGCTCATTGTATTCTGGTGTTTCCTCGAACAGCAGTTTTTTCCATATTCCTCTCATGCATTGTTTCTGAAGCTACTTTTTATGAAATTTTGATATCTTACATTGATCAATATTTTATAATAGATTTTTTTAAATAATTACAAAGCTGTGCATTGTATGGTTAATAAACAGAAAAAAATGCTAATGTGATCATACATCCACATAACTAACAGTTGTTTCTATTTCATAAATAGGAATTTTCCCTCTTTCCAATTGCAATAATTTATTTCACGCTCACTGCATTTTTAGCTGCCTTCTTTATTCAAGTCTTAGCTTTTATTATCATTGAAATGTTTGAATGCAACATATTTTCTTTTCTTTATTGCAATAGAATTTTGGTCAGTATTATTTCACTTACTTGACATGATGATGAGATAAAAAAACTGCAACAAGACATACGTACTCTGGCTGCCAATAAAATATTAAGATGCTAAATATTACAACAATGCTATATATAAATCTAATACATATCCTAAGTCGTGCTTTTGAGACATGAAAAGCGCAAGCTGAATTTCGTCAATTGGCCATATTCATCAGTCTGTTAGAACATGAAATATAAAACTGTCCCTTTGTTTTTGCACAGTGTACTTACCTATTATTGCAGCCACCTTAGTATAAGTTGCCAAATTTTCAGAATGCCAAACAATGGCAGCCATTCTCATAAAATCTTTCAGTCAAGCAACATTGACATTTTCATGTATCTTCTTGTTCATGTTCCGAGTTCCAATGATTTTTACACACAAATCGACATTTTTTGCTTTAAAATTTTAAAAAGTGTTTATGAAATTTGCCAGCAATGGAAGAAACTGCTGTAAAATTTTTGTAAGAATGCAGTACATTTTGTAACAAAATCACTAAAATGAGCAATGATTAAAAGCGTTTAGTAGATAGCCAGTGTGCAATTCCAAGGTTTTGCAGAAGAATTTCACGAAAAATATGAATATTTTATCTTTTAATGTATCATTAAATCCTTATGATATAATTAAAATTGTATCATTTAATCCTCAGGATGCTGAAAAATGATACCTCATTATCATTTAATCCTCATATAATTAAAATTTGTATTTTAAATTGATAGTGTTGTCTGTTGATAATGTTGACTAATGAGAAATATCAATAGTTGGGGAATTTCTTGAAAACAAATTTGTGAAAATTGCCGTCTTTCCCTAATAAGTATATTTTATTTATGTATAAAAAATTGCCCAATTGTGCCAAGGTTGTGGCATTAATACATGAGTACCTTAAACCCTATAATGAACTTGATATTTTTTTTTTGTTGTTGTTGTTGTTTATGAGCAGTTATTATCATAAATGAGTTTGTAATAAATACCCACTGTTTAGGAATTGCATACTGAGCATTAGAAACAAATAATTCCATCTGCTGCTTTAAGAGCTTAAGGATATTTAAATTTTCTATTAAGAAATGGAAACTTTCTATTTCTGAGGTGAAAAGTTTTTATGAGTAATAAAGATGCAGTGCATATAACTGTACACTAGTATAGAATTATACACTGTAATTCGTGCATTAGCAGCGCAAAGCTTGCTTTGTATTTTCATCATATGATTCGCCACACACACTTTTACCAATTTTCAGTTCTATCTTAAGTTTTAGATGCTTAATTCAAGAAAATATTCACTTAAATATTTTATAATTAACAGAGCAAGCTTTTACTCATTTTTATTCTAAATGAACAAAATCAATAAGAATACTAGAAAATATTAATTTAACCTGTGACATTCTTTCATGTATACATAATAATTTTTCATAGAAGATTTGCTAACAAAAATTATTACGAATTGTACAAAATATAATAGCTTAAGGATTTCTGTTGTCACTAAAGTTTTTGTTAATGTCTTCCTTTTCTTCATATTATTTTTCATGAAATTCTCATTCTAATTTTTATTTTTTTCCTTTTAAAAATCATACAAAAATAATCAAATTGATTGACATATTTTTTTTTTGGTTAAAACCAAATTAATTATTTGTACATCACTAATTCTGGAATAAAATTTAAAACTATGGTTATGAAAAGATGAATAGTTATGTGATGTATAATAGATGTCAGATTAGTGTTTCTTCAAATTAGTTCAATAAAATATACTGCTTATGTGTGAAATACTTAACCCTGAGGTAGGTGATGTCTCTTATCAGTTTTGCTTGAATCACTAAAGCTTGAACTCTAGTGAACTCAAGCAAGACTAATAAGACTGGTGAACATGAATGATGTGAACCTTGCTAATTTTCAAAGCATCTGTATTTTATAAGCATGTTTAAGATCACTTTTCGTTCATATTATTACTTCCTGTTAATTTTTTTACATTGATAATTTTCTTATTTTGTCTATCTCTTTTTTGTGCCGTTACTTTTTTTTTTCTCTCCTTTTAATCATTGATTTGCTAACTTATAAACTTCAGGGGCTGGAAATTTAATAGTGATTGCAATAGTGCAGAAAACACAGGAAATACAAATTCACTTTTATAGTCCCTTAGTGTAGTCTCCACTGTCCATACTCTTCTCTACCAATATAACTTCATAATATCATCAGCAGTCTCATATTAGTTGATGTCAAGGATCAGCCAATAAATTGTATGCATAACATCAAGAAGCATGTAAAAGCAAATGCATAGTAAGGGTTCTTTAAATTTAGAAAATAAATCAAAATCATAATTACTAAGATCTGGAAGTATATCATTTCTCATCTTGTCTTATACATCACCATCTATGAGACAGTAGTGATGATCAGGAAGAATAATAGGTTGAGTAGTTAGAAAATGGCGTTCGTACATAAATACGAATACGCATAAATAATATTTATATGTACTCTATGTAATATTTGCTCTGTTTGGCTGACAGATATCTTTAAAAAGTTCCAAAAGAGTTATCGAGTTATACGGAATGTCGAGATATCTGGAGTCTGAGGAACTCGACTGTATTTACATTTTGTTCATTGAGAACTTCTTGAGTAAAGATCATACAATAACAGTCATTGGCAATAATGATCATGCCTTTTACAACTACATGATTCACACACATACATTTTGGGACATGGAAAGCTGTAATAGTGTTACTGTCCAAACATATTATGAGCATATCCATGGCAAGCATTGCCAAACATCAGTCTGTATCAACACATGAAGGACCTAGTATGCCACAGTTTTTTGCGTGTGTAATTTCTCTAGAAAAGTATTAAAGATACTTGAATAGCTGATGCAACTTCATAAATAAACTGTTAAGCAATCTGTTGTTGATTATTAGTTAGCAAATCAAGTATGGTCTTCATTTTTTTAAACTAAAGGGATAGGCCATCCAGTTTTAAGTTTATAGCTTCTTTCTCACATCCCTATTTCAGTGTGTTCTGTAAGTCTAAGCATCTGCATGTTCTTATCATACTGCATGCTAATGTATGAACTGCACAGGACTAAACAAGCTTCTGGTAATATTTAACTTTGGAAATAATTTTTAAGTGTCTGCTCTGCACTAACTGCATTATGTTAATGTATGCACACAGCATGAAGGGGCTATAATCATTACTGTGTTAAGAATGAAATGTACAGTTTTTATGTATCTGTGCTGTGAGGATCACTATGAGATTTCTAACCCTTATATATTGTTTAAGGATATATCTAGTTAATTTTAATCTGTTCTTCCAAAATGTCTTTTACAGCTAACATATTCAACTACAAGATTTGGCATTTATGAAGTTGTAAAACAAAGTGTTACTAGTCCAGGTGAAAATATGCCTTTTTATAAAAAAGTTTTGCTTGCTGCTGTTGCTGGAGCTGCAGGTGGTTTTGTGGGCACTCCTGGTGATATGGTGAATGTTAGGTTAGTAAATACATGCATCTTATAACTTTTATTAGGTTTCCAAGTATATATACTAACCTTTTTATTGTTTCTGTATTCATTTATAAATAATACACAGTACAGTTTTTAAAAAGTATTAATGTTAACTTCTGGAATGAATGCAGTAATTTGTTATTATTGCACTATCTTTTCATGAATTCAAAGCTAATTAAGTACTTAAAACTGCATTAGATAAAATGTTCATTTCTTATAATCTTGACTTTTTGCCTGTGAGATGAATCCTTATTTGAATCTTAAGAACTGGTGAGTGTAATTTATGACAATCAAATGAAGAAATTGTGTTTATCTTCTCATATTAATTAGCAGTCATTACCTTATTGATCTACTGGATGTTTTACCACTGTCTCTTCCTTTGTATTTAAATCTATTTGCATGCTACATATGCAACATTTTATGCATTTCTTTGGACGAAATGCATAAAATGTTGCCAGCAGCTTCTAAGCCTTATCCAAACCAGGGTTATTTTATTAACATCATTTTTATATCTTTGATTGTGTCATCATTGTTTTTTTTTTTTTTTTTTTTGTACCTTTGTGTTTTGAATCTTTATTAGTTTATTCAGAGTTTAAAAAAAAAAAAAAATGTTACATTTTTTAATATCTTTCATAATATTAAGCTTAAAAGAAAATGCCTCATTTAGTCTCCCTAGGTCTGGAACAGTTCCATGCTATTTAATATGATGATATACAAGAGTCGAATAATTAATTTTTGAGGTCTCATCAAAACTTTGATTTACTAATTCATTAAAGCTTGGTAATTTCATATATTATATAGAAGTTATCTCTTACATTTATTTTTAAACGTTAGAGTTGTTTCATTCACAGATGTAATTAATATTTTGTAACTATTAAAAAAAAATTTTAGTTGAATTTTATAGAAATGAAATATGTTACGTGTGTTGTCCTATGTCGTTAATTTAGAAAGATCTGTGACTGCTGTGTGAAATGGACATTTTAGGATTGTGAATGATTAGAATTGGCAAGCATTTACTACCCATTGGTACTTACTGACCCATTCAATCATCACTTTGTCATGATCATCACTTTTAGCATAACAAATAATTTTTCTGTTATTTATTCCGAGTAGTTTATTTTGTGTTGGATTCCCCAAAAATTTCAAAAAGTTCCTTTTTCTTACGATTTATACAATTGACTTTCCAATGCCATACTCCTCTCATAATTTTGAGACAGAGATATCTTTATCCATTTTTTGCAGCAATTCCACTTTTTGTTTAATGGACATCGAAACGTGCTTTCACTGTGTAGATCCTGTAGCAGCTCCAGAATTAGAAAATCTTTTCGGCATAATCGGAAGTTCAAACTTTAATTTTCATAAAATTGCTGTAATGATAACAGCCAGAAAATAATAATAAGCTGGAACAAATCATAAAGTTAAGGAACAGCGCAATCTGCTATATTAACTGAAATTTCTTGGAGTCAGTACAGTATAATTTTAGCTTAGCTTAGTGTTACTCGCTATACATTATTTGATCATGAGACTGGCAACAAAAGACAAGTTGTTCCACTAAATTTTATCTTGCTTCTATTGCGCACTGACATATTTAAACCTAAATTGTATTAATTTAGTTATTTATTATACTTGTGTCTATTTCTTGCATATGCTTAAGGCTTATCTGGGTCCTGAATAAATAAATCCTCACATATACTTAAGGCTTATCGAGGGTCAGCACTAGATATCTTACTGCCTGATGCCATCTCTGTGGGTCCTAAATTCTCCTACCAAGCAGCTCCTTAAGTTCTAAATTTTTGCCCCCCCCCTCCCCTGAATTTTAGGCACCAGGGTTTCCCTTAAATTCTAAATATTTTGTTGGCCCTTAATTTTGTTGCTCAGTGCTTCTCTAAATTCCAGAAATTTTGTCTTCCCTAAATTCTGCTACGGTGCAGCTATGCAAACTCTTGTGCCAGTTCTGGGTTTATGTTTGCAATTTTGTATCAGTCTTTGCACCAACTGTGCTTTTACAATATATTCAATAATAAATTTCTAATTCATTCTGTAATTATTATTTTTTAATAGGATGCAAAATGATATAAAGTTACCTCTTCAACAGCGTAGAAAGTGAGTACTTAGGACAGTTTTTAATAAGTCTTAGTTATCATTTTCATGTCTTTGTGTTTTTATATTGAATAACAGAAAATTTTAAAATATTACTACTTTCAAATTTTTGAAGTTTGGTTTCTAATTTCATTTATAGCTACAAGCATGCATTAGATGGTTTAGTCCAAGTATATGCTAAGGAAGGATTTAAAAAACTGTTTTCTGGTGCATCTATGGCTACTAGTAGAGCTGTGTTAATGACAATAGGACAGGTCAGTTTCAAAAGTACATTTCCACTTTAGAAACAGAAAAACTATTTATTTAAAAACATATCATATGCATACAGCTGACTTCTAATTTCTGTCATTTGTTCTTTCATTTTGGTGTGTCAGGGCCATAGCTAGAGGGGGGCATCTGTCCTAGGTGCAGCATCCAGGGGACGCCAAATTGATGTTGTGAAATTTTAGAATTAAATGTTTTTCATTCTTGGCAAATAGGAGGGACACAAAATCTTCAGTTTTACCAAGCGCTGAAAACTCTACCTACAACTATGTGACATGTTAAGGAATTTTTGCTTTCACAGGCATTGTTTGGACATAAAGATTAAAATTTTGGTGCTCAGTATGTTTTATATGTTCAGATTTGTCATGCATATCACTTGGACCAATCGTTTTATAAGAAATAGAAGAAAAAATAATTTTCCCCTTCCAATTCATTCATGTGCTGCAAGTGGGACTACAATACCTACTTTTGGCCAAGAACTCATTAAATTGGATTTATCTTTACATAGGGAATTTCATCGGCCGTTTGTCATTGCTGCAGTCTCTTAGCCTATTATAATTATATTTAATCTCTTAGCCTATAGTATCTATTATAATCTCTTAGCCTATAGTTAATGAATTTTTGCTTTCACAGGCATTGTTTGGACATAAAGATTAAAATTTTGGTGCTCAGTATGTTTTATATGTTCAGATTTGTCATGCATATCACTTGGACCAATCGTTTTATAAGAACTAGAAGAAAAAATAATTTTTTCCTTCCAATTCATTCATGTGCTGCAAGTGGGACTACAATACCTACTTTTGGCCAAGAACTCATTAAATTGGATTTATCTTTACGTAGGGAATTTCATCGGCCGTTTGTCATTGCTGCAGTCTCTTAGCCTATTATTGGAGTTGACTTCCTTCATCACTTTGGATTACTGGTTGACATTTGTCAAGGATGTTTTGGGGATCCACTTACCCAACTACATTCCAAAAGAACTGTGACTCCAAAAGATATAACTCGCATCAAGGCAGTGAAAGGAGATACTAAATTTCACCAACTGCTTGCCGAGTTACCTTCCTACGGAAGCTGGCTCAACGCCGTGAAAAATTAAGCACAATATTACTCACTGTATTAAGACTAGAAATCCGCCTGTGTTTTCATGACCGCACAGACTTTCAGCCGATAAGCGTAAAGCAGCCAAACAACAATTCCAGTTCGTAGTTAAAACTGGAATCTGCAGACCCTCCAAAAGCTGCTCGGCATTCCCTCTGTACAGGTGGCCAAAAGCAATGGAGATTGGCGATCATGTGGGGATCATTAAATAGTGTCATCATTCCAGATCAGTATCCTGTTCCTCACATATAGAACTCTCTTCAAGTGTTAGATGGGAAGTGGATATTTTCAACTCTGGATTTGGAAAAAGTGTATTTTCAAATTCCTGTGCGAGAAGATGTGCCAAAAACAGCCGTTTCTACACCATTTAGTCTCTTCGAATATTTGTTCATGCCATCTGGGTTATTGAATGCTGTGGCTAATTTCCAGAGATTTATTCATCACATTCTCAGCAGACTGGAATTTTGTGTACCATACTTTGATGATGTACTAGTAGCATCTAAAAATGACACTTAGCACATGCAACATCTTAAGATGGTCTTCCAGCAATTCATGGATTATTGTGTAGTACTAAATGCAGCTAAATGTGTCTTGAGTAAATCAACTGTGAAATTTCTAGGATATATGATAACTCCCAAGGGTATCACTCCTTTGCCAGAGAAAGATTCAGCAATTGTGAATCTTCCCAAACCAGAAACTCTGAAAGAACTTAGGCATTTTCTGGCTATGTGCAACTTTTACTGCCATTTTATTCTGCAAGCTGCAAAAACTCGAGCAATACTTAATACGTATGTAAAGAAAGTGGCAAAAAGTGACAAAAGACCAATCGCATGAACAGAAGTAACCACAAATGCATTTGAGAAATGTAAGAAAGATCTCCCAGACACCACAATCTTGTACCATCCTTCATCAGAGGCCCCACTTGTAATTGTAGTTGATGCTTCTGACACAGCTGTAGGTGCAGCTCTTCACCAACAAGTAGAAAAAGGAATGCAACCTCTTGCTTTTAACAAAAAAAAAAAAAAAAAAAACTCCAACACAACAGAGATACATTGCATATGATAGAGAGCTCCTCGCGTGATATATGGCCATAAGGCACTTTCGACATAAGGTCAAAGGTTGTAACTTCATTTTATTCACAGACCACAAACCACTTACATTTGCATTTCAGCAAAAAGAAGATAAATGCTCTCCACAGCAACTTGGATAACTGGACTTTATTAGCCAATTTACGACTGATATTCACTACTTAAAAGGTTCAGACAATGTGGTAGCGGATGTGCTGTTTCGAATTCATATAGCTACTATTGTACACTATCTCCTATCAACTACTACCAGCTTGCCAAGGAGCAGTAAAATGATGCAGAATTGCAAAATATTTTATCATGAAATTCGACTACCTCCTTAGTGCTGAAGCCCCTCCATATTGGTCAGCCTCCAGTTATTCTGCACTATGATATCTCCACTGGTCGTTTTCACCCTTTCATTCCACAGTCATTTCGTTGAGCAGTGTTTAGCAGCTTTCGCTCTCTCTCACACCCAGGAGTTAAAGCCTCAGTAAAGCTGATCGACGAAAGATATGTTTGGCCTTCAATGAAAGCGGGTGTGGCATCTTGGGCTCGTGAGTGCTTAGTGTCAGAAATCTAAAGTGACATACTATACCAAAAGCAAAATTAGTGTTTTTGTGCTACCTAGTGTTAGATTCGAACAGTGCGCATTGACCTCATAGAACCTCTCCCTCCATCCGAAGATTTTCAATACTGTCTCACATGTGTCGATTGTTTTTCTAAATGGCCAGAGGCATTTCCATTAGCAGATATATCCGCACAGACTGTTGCAGTAGCCTTCTATGCAGGTTGGATCTCCAGATTCTGATCCCCATTCCGTCTAACTACCCATCAGGGAAGGCAGTTTTAATCATCACTCTTTGATGCACTTACCATGTGCCTGAGTACAGCTCGACACCACACATCTCCATACCATCCGTCTGCAAATGGCCAAGTTGAAAGATTTCATTGGCAGCTGAAATCCGCAGTCATGCCACACAGCAATAATCAGTGGACTGCTGTATTGCCTACAATTTTATTAGAGTTCAGAGCCACTTGGAAGGATGATCTACAAGCAACTACAGCAAAAATGGTGTACGGAACTCCAATTCGCTTCCCAGGAGAATTCCTGTGGCCTACACCTGAAGTGACTTTTGTCGGAAAGCTTCACGAATCTATGCAAACCCTCCTACCTCCTACAAATCAGCCTCATGGCGAGCAAGCGGTTTTCGTCAGCAAAGCCACCTGCAGTCATGTTTTTCTTCGAATAGATGTAGTGAAAAGAAGTTTTCAGCAGCCATATGAAGGCCCTTATGCTGTGATCAGTCGAGGTGACAAAGTTGTCACAATTTCCATTCAGGGCAAAACTAAAACTCTAAGCATCGATTGTCTTAAAGCAGCATATGTCACAAGAAAAGAAGCTGAAGACTCAGCGCTCACAATCGCAGAACTTCTCTCCCAACATCAGACGATTCACCTGCAAAATCGGAGATTCTCACATCGCCATCAGCTGTTCCTGCATCGAACTGTGAATCACCAGCAATGGTAACTTGCTCAAGCTGACGCATACGCTTTAGTCCATGGCATAGCTAAAGTTTCGCTTTCGCTGGTGGGGGGGGCTGCCTGTAGCGATCTGATCAAACTATATTTCTTGAAAGGTGTGCCTCGGAGGAAGACAAAGGAGAACAGGTGGTGATCCATCTCAAGGAGAGGAGAAAGCAGACAGGAGTCGCCAGAACACACTGACTCTCGTGACTTGATGTTCTGAGGTATGCGGTAAAACGTTCCTCTAAGTTTCGATTCAGAAATGCTGTAATATTTTCCAGCATGCTTAACGTGTGTTAAATAAATGCTAACTTGAATATGAATAAGTTGCATCTTTATAAGGTTTTATCAAGCATTCTAATATATTAATAAGTTTATTGTAAAAGCAAATTCTAAAGAAGATAGTATATAGTTGATTCAGAAATAACTTAAATATACCATATAGTAAATCTGATTATTCCTATAACTCACTTAATTGCAGTTTGAAATTAAAACAATTACCAAGATTTTCAAACTAGCTGCAAAAAATATCTTGTGGTACAACAGAATTTGAATTAATGATTACAAATGTACCTCGTAAAAATGCATTAGGAATAGTTTTGAGTGAACTGGAAAATTATAAGTCACTTCTATATCTTTGCCTTCAAATTAATGCTTCAAAGAATAATTTTAAAAAAGGGAGAAAATATTCCCTTTGTATGTTCAATATTTTAATTTAATAATGTTCAATATTATGCAATTCAGTACAGTAAGTTATATACTTGTCTTTTTTGGGGAATCCAGATGAAAATTGCAGGTGGAATGAAAAAGAATTTCTTGTTTTAGTGCTCCTAGTACAAACTGTTATTTTGAAACAAGGTATACTAACATCTTGACATTAAATGAAGGTGGAGTTGAAGCAAATTACAATGCTCACATACATAACACAGCAAAATGTGGTATGGGAAACCTGACTGTGGACAGAAAATGATGTTCTAAAAATCTATGGCCATTTCTCAGTGTCAGCCAATGCGCATGAAACACTTAAGGCATATCAAATATTTATTTGTAAAAGAAGAATTCGATCCAATTCTCAGTCGTATGCCTATAGGTGGCTTTCTTTGAACCATGCATTGAAAGAATTTTAATTTTATCAAGAATTAAAATAATTTGTTTTTATTTCTTAAGCAGAACAAATGGTTGTTCTAAACAGGTGTTTGAATTGCTTTTAACTGATGATGATTGGTAGAAATTACACGAGTGACTGAAATACATTTATTATTCTTACAACATTTAGTGTCTGTTTTTAGCTTAGCTATTGA